ACACCATAAATAAATATTGTATGTATATAATTCATTAAGTTATACAATAATGCGTCACCATGGGACTATTAAATGTTAAACTAAGTAAGTAATACATAGAAACCACATAAACACAATACAAATATTAGAAATACCAACCATATTCACATGTACTTTCCCTCAAATATATTACGTACAATGTACATTCGAGTGTTTAATTGTTTAACCGCAAACAACGCATTAACAAGCATGATTAACTCTGTAATTAATACTTGAATTAGAAAGATGATCTCGTTTGAATCTCAAAATCTTCGCTAAGTGGAATTCCCTAAGCTTGTTTAGATACTCTACTATTCATTTGTGTTCGGAATTTTAATCATCTAATTTTTGAAATGAGAGTGAACGAAAAGGCTAATGAAAATTTGAACTATACATTTTTATAAACCTCCGTTCTCAGTTCTCGTTACAACGCTTGTAATTGAAGCTCATCCCAAAGCGTTGCATATTATGGAAGTATTCAGTTTCGAGTGCCTCGTTGGCCGAGTAGTCGCAAGTGCGACTGCCGGGCAAGGCGTCTCGGGTTCGATTCCCGGGTCGGGCAAAGTATTACTGGGTTTAAAAAAATTCTCAGTAGTGGCACGGAGTCTGGAATTGTGCCCGGTATATGACAATAGGCTCACCCAGTCATCCCCTATTACATGGGACTTATAACATAAATAGTGAAAAGTGGGTGTTATATTTTACAGTGGCATTATGTACACCTCTGCCTACCCCTTCGGGGATAAAAGGCGTGATGTTATGTTATGTTATGTGTTATGTCAGTTTCGAGTATAATTACATATTTATAGGTCTTAGGCAAAATCACGTTAATGATATCCACATTGTTAAAAAATCCTAAGTATAATGTACAGACAACTTCATTAGGTTTAAAAAATACTAACACGTAAATCTTGTTTCTAAAAGACCAGTGTATTTCGACGATATCAGAAAGTCTACATACAGCTAATCATCTAATTTGACCGAGAGCTATAACCAATGACCATGAGGTAATCTTCTGAGGCACTGATACTGGTGCATGCAATCTTTTAATACAGTTTCAACTCTATTGCAAAAAGATAAGGGTGAAAATTTATTAAACATGGTCAGATTAGGGTCTGCACCTTTGATAAGCAGGCATGCACTCTGTTAAAGAGCTGCTAACTGACTCCATACGATGCTAGCTTGCAGTACACATAATCCTAGTACTGTACATCTAAGTATGCAATGTATTTTCCAGATAGGTACATTCGCAATATGGTTGTTGCATTAGATACCTTTTGTTGTTTCATGTTGCTTTTCTGTGGTCGGTATGGCCGGTGGTATCACTCCGGTCGAGCCGGCCCATTCGTGGCATATTATTGTGGTGAAACTATTAACAGACTTTCATTGAAACAATATATATTACATTAAAAATATTATAATAACTAACCTAAAACTGTCATTCATTGGTTTTTACAGGAAAATTAATGAAATTAGTCAAAGTAGTTACCAGTAAATTAAGTAACTGTATGTACAATCATATTAATGTGAGAAATTCCAAGTTATACAAAATATTATCTGTCAGATGCATGTGTAGGATAGGGGTGGTTTTTAGTCAGTAAGAGTCTGACACTCCCTCCCGCCACATTAGGCGGGAGAAGTAATTCAATGTTATTCACCCCTTAAAAAAAATCCTGTCAGATGACGAATTTGTAGTGCGTAGTACGTTTTTTTTTTGGCAATTTATTATTAGGTAGATTTACTATATAAAGTACCTACATATATACATAACGAATTTCAATTAATCCCATTTTATATATACTATACTTACGTAATATGGGATATACGCAGCATAATAAATTACACTTACACTTTGATTGTGATTGAACCTAGGAATACCATCTTCTTACAACTATAAGAGTAATGAAAATTAATATATCATACTACCTATTTCCACGTGGTTGCACCCGTTCTGGTCGGCTCTAATAAATTGTTGCATAATGTTTCATAACCTTCCTCGTATATAATATCTTCCTCGGTAAATGCTCCTCCAATACAAACAAAATTATCCAATTTCAAACCAGTAGTTCTGGAGATCAGAGAGTTCCAACAAACAAACTCTTCAGTTTTAAGTATATATTATATTATATAAAAATAGTATAAGATTCTGGGCAGTATATCTCCCCATGGGATACAGGCGTGAAGTTATGTATGTATTGTTAGACGACAAAAATCAACTAAATGAACGTCACTAGTTTAATCTGTATTACCGACAGCACTAGCTTTCATGTTGACGATGTCATCTGTCAAATGTGACAGATTAGTAAAATTTCCCGCGCACAGAGTTGTAACGCGCGATTTTGGTGGGAATTTTGACGAGCATCACGCTGTGTTTTTTATAAGAATCCGTTTTGAATTAACTTTTCATTATCTAAGTATTGAGTTTTACTTAAATGTATGTATGTATAAAATTCTGCTCAGTCACTGGTGACCGATGTTGACAGAGGATTTAACATACAACATTCTTCTATCAGTAGTCAATGACATATATATAAAATACACTTTTCATATAATATGCGCGTTCCCCAAAGATGCACAGAGCTCGATTATTACCCACGGAGGAGACCCAGATTTGGCCACTTACGTTATAAGTTTCATATAACAGAAGGCGAGACTAAGAAAATGTTTAAGGAAAACCCTTACCCACCCCCGAAGGTATTTTTATGTTTCAATGCCGCTATTTGACCCTAATGATATTCCCACGTCATACCTTCCTTTCATGTTTTTGGACGGAAATTTTTACCTTACTGGCAAGATTGACATGTTTTGTATCTGTTGATAAAATGAAAATTTCGAGTCTCTTAATCTATGCAAAAAGATGACAACGCTAAATGCTGAGATTGAGTGATTGGAACAAAGTTTTATAATAAAAGAAGAATATAATATTTACCTAAACCGGGAATCAAACGCAAAAGTACAAGAACAAGACCAAGGGATCAGCAATCACATTTACTTGAATTGAACAAAGCAGTGAAATATTTGTCAAATTTAAACAAATTATTCCGGAACGACAACACGTCGTGTTATTTTACAAAATAATCACATTTACTCTGTCCTGCAAGGGTATTTTAACACATCAAAAGGTCAGATACCGTAATTAAAAACATTAAGCTAGCCGGTTTAATCTGGTTTATTATAACCGCGTATCCAAACAACCATTAACACCCTGAACATTGAGTTTAGCCGTTAAACTTGACCATGTTCCAAAATTAACTCAATTTTATTCTGTAATTTTATTCATTTTTCACGCTATAATATTCATTTACTTTTAATATTATTGATAAAATATTCTTCTATTATTTCTGACTCGTCTTCATAAAATAAAATTACTTACCCAAATGATATCACTATTTCCAAGATTTGCATTTGCGATTTAAAATTAATAATATATACAGACATATATAACTATATTAATATTTACTACTTAAAATTAACTACAGTTAAACGAAAGAAAACTAAAAATAACTATTTACAAAAAACATCAAAAAATTCGTCCGCTTCGACGTCAAACGACGTCGAAGCGTTTTGAAGTCGGTTAAAAATAGTTATAATTTCGAAAATCCCGTAAATCACCAGTTGAACTTAGTTTAGTTAAAGTGTAATAACAGTATCAAATCGTTTGTTATTAACGAGAGAAGTCCATGTTACACCGCTGCAGTAATCCGAGTGTCGGTCGAATACATCCGAATGGACTTCCCGAGCTTCGCAATCTGCTTTCTTTTTGCTCTCCCGAATAAATCTATCAACGGCTACCAACTACAAACCCATTAGAATCGCACACACACAAATGGGATTTTCCACTCAAAATTCCTATACAATCGACCTGGAATATTAAAGGAATACCGCTGCCGCGCCAGATTAGTGCGTGGAGGGATGAGCTCCGGTGCGATCTCATGGCGGAATAGCAGCAACGACTTCGCAACCTAGGGCTGGGCTCGCTGTCATTGCAGCGGTAAGTCCCCTCTTTGAGGAGTGGCTTGAGAGACGTTATGGTGTCCTCACCCACCGCCTGACGCAGGTGCTTACCGGACACTGAAGTTTCTGTAGGTGCCTGTTTAGGATTGGGCGGGAGGAAACGGCCGGGTGTCATCACTGCGAGGACCACGCGGTGGACATGGTGGAGCATACGGTGGCGGTGTGCCCTGCCCCGGTGTGGCTGGGTACCGCCGTGTCCTCAGAGATGTGATCAGCGACGGCGACCTCTCGCGTCCGGCTCTGGTTCAGGACATGATGCGGAGCGAGGGGGATGGGATGCCGTCTCCTACTTCTGCGAAGCAGTCATGCTAGCCGAAAAGACGACCTCCGGCCACCGTACGTGCGGGTCTGTGGACGGTGAGGAAGGATAGATTGCCGCCCAAGCAGAACCAGACCCGTGCGCACGGCGCGCGCGACCCTCGACGCGCCGTACGCACGAAAGAGCCCAAAGAGCCATCAGACCGCCACAGATGGGGCCCAGTAGGGCTGATGCTCGATACGGAGCCGCGGAAGGCCTAACGGGTTGCCGGGGCTCCGGCTCGAAGAGCAGGAGTAGGAACGGGGTGGTTCTTAGTCAGTAAGAGTCTGACACTCCTAATCCAAGGCGGGAGTAATCTTTGTATAATATATACCCTCAAAAAAGGAGACTGGTGGACCCGCTAGTTGGGATACAAATTCACACTTACCCAGGTACAGGGGGCACTGCCTGGGTGAACGGAAAACTACGCAGTTATGACATCGATTACGTACAAAAATAATTTAAATTAATAACTAAACTTCCCTTTTTACACAATAAGGAAAATACTGTATTTCCAAATTAATGGATATAAATGCACACAACGCAATATTCACAAAACTTTTCAGTCATAATCGAGCCATGGTTGATTTAAACAGACAATAATGTACTGAAAAATATTTGGTTACTAAAATAAAACCTAGAAGATAAAAGTGTGTGCTTAATACTCAAGATGGCGAAATGCTTCTATAACAGTTCAAATCTGATCCTTACAAATGTGACTGAAGAAGAGCTGGCAGCAATAGATATATTCCACTGCCATGCGGAATCAACCATTGTTTTTGCTCTTGTATTGTGTTTGATTTTAATTATACTTGGCATTCCTGGCAACCTCATTACCGTTGTAGCACTAGCTTGGGACAAAAAAGTAAGTTTTAGATCTATCTAAATTATTTTCAAGTGATATCAGAACAAATTCAAAAGTTACCAGGAATTCGTACGCTTCCGTGGTTTTAAGCGGTATATTAAAAATATACCCGCTAGCGAAGCGTTAAAATCATCGCCATCTCTCTCTGTTGAGCTTCTTAAAACCAAAAGTTAAAGAACTCTTCTGTTTTTTGTTTTCAATACAACCCACAGGGTGCTAGCATTTCTATAGGTGTACCGTAGGGCCCAATACTAGGTCCTTTCTTATTTTTAACGTACATACATGACTTGCCCCATTTATTTAAAAATGAACCGCAGGTGGTATTATTTGCTAATGACACTCCATTCGTTTTTAAAATAAATAGACGAACAAATAAGTATGACGACAAAAATAATGTCCTAACGTAGGTTCAACATTAAATAACTTAGAACTAAACGATAAAATGACAAAATGTATTAGATTTGTTTTACCTAACGTTAAAAGCAATGAATGTGACATATTATTGAATAGTGAGAATTACCGTAGACGACAAGTCGCAATGGGGTCCTCACATTACATCTTTAGCGGGACGATTGAGCTCTGCAGCTCATGCCGTCTGGAAAATCAGACAGTTAACTGACATAGACACGGCAAGACTAGCGTACTTCAGTTACTTTCATAGCATTATTTCTTATGGCATTTTGCTCTAGGGATACGCTGCTGACATTGAGTTTATCTTTATGTTACAAAAGCGCGCCGTCAGAGCTATCTATAACCTAAGTAGTCTCGAATCTATCAAAGAAGAGTTTAAAGAGATCAACATTATGACCGTTCCATGTCAATTTATATATGAAAACATCATGTATGTTGGGGAAAACCTACAGTTATTTGGCAAAGTGTATCTCCCGGTGATTTCCAAGATTTTTGAAAAGATTCTTTACAACGGCATAGAAATATTCCTAAATTCAAAAGACTTCTTTTATTGTAAACAGTACGGATTTCGAGCGAAGTCAAATAATCTCGGTGTAACAATTGATCTCGTCACTAAAATAAAAAATTGTGTTTATAAAAAGCAAGTAGTTGTGGGTATATTTATAGATCTTAAGAAAGCCTTTGACACTACAAGTCACAACATACTATTACACAAACTAAACCAAAGTAGTGTTAGAGGCAAAGTACTTGAAATTTTTAAATTATATATGGATAACCATCCGTGTTTACGTAAACAAGTAGTGAAAATGGGTGATTGTGAGAGCACCGCCCGTATTCTCGATTTCGGCGTCCCTCAGGGGTCCATATTGGGCCCTCTCATGTTCCTTATCCATATTAACACCATCAGTGCATTAGGCCCAAAGAAAACATTTCCCTATATGCAAATGATACAAGTCTATTTTATTTTGGACACTCAGTTGAAGATCAAATGACTGACGCTCAAAATGATCTGAATCTACTGAATGAGTGGTTTCAGTCCATTCTGTTAAGTACCAACACTACAAAAACAAATTATCTCATTCTTGCACAAAAAAATTCATGCAAACCTTGAACTTAAAATAGACGGCCAAATACTGGAACGTAAATCCAACGAAAAATATCTTGAGCCAATCTTAGATAGTAACATGACCTAGAAAGCACACATTGAAAAAAATTAACTTAAAGTAAGGTCACTTACACACTTTACAATATAACAAAATGTCTCCCTCAAAGAGTTAGATATCGTGTGAAACAACGCTTGTGTTATATTTTACAGGCTGAGTAGGGTTACTGGAAGCCAAATCCTCCTTCTCCCCACCCATTCTCAATCTCCAAATCACTAATCCCCGAAAGGCCGACAACGCACTCACTAAAAAGAATAACTCAAATATGTTGTTATTTGCCAATAAATAAGACATTATAATTATTTTTCTAGGTGAGGAACGCAACAGCTTTATTCATAATAAACCTTCACATAAGTAATCTGATGGTTTGCATTATGATCTTGCCGCTGTCAGCGTCGGCTTTGGCGCAGAACCATTGGGTATATGGAAAAGCAATGTGCGTCGCGTATGCGTACATCAGATTCACGCTGGCTACCAGTTCCATCTTAAGTATCTTAGCCATCACTATCACCAGATTCATATTGGTGTGCTTTCCATTCTCATATCTCAAGTAAGTAGCACTTAAGTGAAGTTTATATGGTTTTTATAGTATTTTTTAAGAGGGTAAAATTATCAAATGACTTCTCCCGCCTGGACGAAGCGGGAGGCAGTGTCAGACTCTTGTAAATAAAAACCACCCAATTCCTACTCCTGCACTACGAGCCGGAGTCCCAGTAACCGTTTACGTTCTCCGCGGTTCCGTGTCGGCATCAACCCTATGGGGCCCCATCGGTGGCAGTAGATTTTTGAGGCGCGCGCGGAAAGGGTCTGTTTCTGGTCGGGTGGCGAACTACCCATGCTCGCCGTCTGCAGGCTCGTGCCTACGGTGGCCGAAAATCGTCACGCGTTCCTCGACGCCCGGACTGATTACAGCTAGTATAGTACCTTTGCAATCTAGCTTTGGAACTTGATAGTATCATTGAACTGAAATGATAATCGTTCTAACTGGAATATAATTTTATTATTTAGGAATACAGTGACTGATATTTGTAGACCTAAAGATAATTTCCATTGCCTTTGATTCATAAAATTCTATCACCATGTTAAATTCGTCTGTAATATTTTCAGAATTTACAACAGAAGAAACATATCAATAATGATACTGGTGATCTGGGTATCAGCCTTAACCATGTATATGCCATATTATTTCGGAGCACTGGGCGGCTTTGGTTTAGACTCCAACCAAGGATTCTGCACCATCATATATGAAAAGAATGGAGGAATACTTTATTTAAGTTTTGGCTATGTGCTACCCATTCTTATTATGATTATATGTTACTTCAAAATTTGGTGGACAGCAACGAAAATGAAAAGGAAAATGCAAAATTTATCTTCGTGTCCTTCAAATAACGTAACATACAATTCGAATAATACTAGAAGTGCTTTAAGACCAATTGTTAATCGCGATTCTTCCAGTCAAGGGCACACCGATACGAGCGACAGTGAAGAAACTCCACCCAGTAGCGAAGCAAATAATCCCGGTGGAAGAAATACCATTGCAGAAGTGTTTCAGGCTACTTTTAGAACCGCCAAGAAAACAGACAGAGTAAAAGCACCAACAAGAAAAGACAAAAAGTTATTTACCATGATAATCGCTATTATTGTAGCTTACAGCTTCATGCAGTTACCTGTAATGATAAATAGAATCCTTATATTGGATAAACCTAAATATCCTTTTACGATGGTAATGTTACAAATGGTTAATTTTGCAGGTTATTGTATAAATCCTATTATCTATGTGTTTATGTCTAAAGAATATCGACAGGCCTACAGTAAGCTTTTCAGAATGATAATGCATAATCTTCGAAGAATCCGTAATTAGTGCATTTTCCGTAAAAATCTTGTTATTTATAATTCTTTCATAAACTACATTTGAAAACCAACTTTAACCCTCTTCTTTAAGTCGGTTAATTAATATAAGTACTTAAACCTTCTCCTAAGTGTATCAAATATTTTCCTGAAAGCTACTTTAAAACCGGTTCAGCAAATCTCGAAATAATCACGCACAAAAATGCATAGATACATACATGCAAGTCTAATTGAGAACCTCTTTTTTCAAAGTCCGTGAAAAATTGGCTCCAACAATGTTAGTTCTATGAGAGTTTATATTAGTTTTTTTTCTATTTATTGTGTTCTCTATTTGTATCTATTGTCTGTGTTCATAATATCTTAGAATTAATATTTTTGAAATTAATCATGTATTTCTATATTCTGAATGTTATTGTGTTTATACACACATACACACTTTTTTAGTAAAAATTTTAGTAATTTATTTTGGGTTAGAAGACCAATAGTTTTTTTTGCGTTATTCTACTTGTAAATGCATAGGTAGATACGCAGTCCAACATCCAACGCATGTCGTATTAAAGTATCTCTAGAGATACGAATACAGTTGTACAAGGCAACGGCATTGTTCGCATGTGTGTCGCATCAACGCATGTACCCACTCGACAAACATCAATGACAATAAAATTGAACCCAAGTTTATAATAAACTTAAATAGAGAATCGTAACCTACATTTATTTATTTACACGATGAACTCGCCCTCCATAGCGCCGATCTTTTCTGGTGCAGGGGCCACCAAACCCGCAGCCTCTCCGACCTCAGGGAGCCTCTAGTGGTCGGACTCTTTAATGAGCTGGTAGAGGTGATCAATGGCCGTCGTCAACTGGGTCTCGATAAAGTTAAAAGTTGTGAGATTTTAAATGTAAACTTGTATGATGAACATTATTATTTGACTACCTTAGGCCATTCTTAGTCTAATATATTTGGTTTATTAGTCTAGATATGTTGAAGTTGTATACCTCATACGAAAGCTTAAGAAATGTTGATGTTTTTTTGTAAAAAGTGCACAACATGCGTCATAGTAAATTTTTATGTTAGAGAAGCATATTTCTGAGTAAAACTAGAAAAAAATTCCAATAGTCTATGAATTTAGGATCACTGTGTCTAAAATAATATTATTATTGTTAGAACTGGTAAATAAACTACTTAAGTAACATACAAAAAAATATTATTTTTTGTTTTTTCACTTTTAGAGTTACCGTGGGCTTCATTTTGAAATTAACACTAAAAGTTAAATATATTAATAACCATTAATTTCCGCCTATCCCTCTGTACGACAAAAATGTTGGAATTGATCTGTTCTGTAACCCCATACGAGATTACGGTCGAATTACAAATCACCCTGTATAAAAAAATAGGAGACTTTAGTTATAAGGCAAACGGAAAACTTTGCAGTGATAACATCGATTACGTGCAAAAATAATTTAAACTAATAACTATCCTTCCCTCAGTACCAAATTAGGAAAATACTTTATTTCCTAATTAATGGATATTAATGCAAACAACTAAAACTTTTTAGTCATAATCGAGCCATGATTAAACAAACTAGACAATAATGTACTGAGAAATATTTGGTAACTAGAATAAAACCTGGAATATTTTATCTTATTTTATTGATTTTATTTTATTATTTAGAGTGTGTGCTTAATACTCAAGATGGCGAAGTGCGTCTATAACAGTTCAAATCTGATCCTTACAAATGTGACTGACGAAGAGCTGGCAGCAATAGAATTGTTCCACTGCCATGCGGAATCACACCTTGTGCTTGCTCTTGCATTGTGTTTGATTTTAATTATACTTGGCATTCCCGGCAACCTCATTACCGTTGTAGCACTAGCTTGGAACAAAAAAGTAAGTTTTGTATCTACTTAAATTATTTTCAAGTGGAAAAGTCATACTTCGGCACGAATGGGCCGGATCAGCCAGTAAGATACCACGCCCTCAAAGAAAACCAGCGCGAAACAACGCTTGCGTTGTGTTTCGCCGGCTGAGTAATGTTACTGGAGGCCAAATCCTCCTCCCTCCACCTATTCACAATCACCAAATCCCTAATCCTTAAATTACTTATGTACCGCAGCCTCGCAGCCCCCTTTACAACCAAAGGGCTGGAATTTGCTGGCCAACGGCTCGTTGTAATAGGCGCAGCAAATTTTGGTTGCGACACGCCTATAAGTACACAGAAATGGGACGAATACCGCCATCCTTCTTGCGCAGGGCACATAAGTTAGCTCCGCATCAGACATCGGTCACATTGCCGGAAAGCATTAAATTGATCAAGCCCATCAACTCCCTCAAAATGAAGTCACCAGCCTCCCCGGCGCTCGAACTCATTATGTCTTTTAAACGTTGCGGTGTCAAGCCGTCGATGACCGCCAGCTGAACCATTTCGGAAGGAGTCCACGGCCCCCCAAATCTGTTGGGCAGTAACGGAAAGAGAATGGAGTTGAGGGTTTGGTGTGTCAGGGAAAGTGAGGTCATCTGCCGGGGAAGGATGTTTACTCTGTAGAGTTGTAACTAGCTCTACAGAGTACACAGCGACCACATCACTTCCAAATAGAACCCTAGTAGCCCTACGGATATCGCCATCTGCTATTTAGGACTCGACATGATGCAGCAAACTTTTGTGTGAAAAGTGTATTGGTAATTTGGGGTTACGAAAAGCAATTATCTTGAGTTTGCGAAGTGTAATTATCTTTAACATGTTGTTATTTGACATTAACCTCTGGAGTGGCGGTATATGAGACACAATAGAAAATACATTGTGTCTCGCGTAGATCTACGTTCCGGCATACCATGGGTTTAATAACATGTTATAATTCTTTTTCTAGGTGAGGAACGTAACAGCTCTGTTCATAATAAACCTTCATATAAGTAATCTGATGGTTTGCATTATGATCTTGCCGCTGTCAGCGTCGGCTTTGGCACATAACCATTGGGCATATGGAAAAGCAATGTGCGTCGCGTATGCGTACATCAGATTCTCGCTGGCTACCAGTGCCATCTTAAGTACCTTAGCCATCACTATAACCAGATTCATATTGGTGTGCTTTCCATTCTCATATCTCAAGTAAGTAGCACTTAAGTGACCTCATCATCATCAATCTAGTTTTAGTACTAAAAAGTATAATTGAACTAATATGAAAATTATTCTTACTTGAATATAATTTTGTTAATTAAGAATACATACTGAATATAGTACAGTGATATTTGTAGACCTAAAGATAATTTCGATTGCATTTGATTCATAAAATTCTACTCACAATGTTATAATTCATATGTAATATTTTCAGAATTTATAACAGAAGAAACATATCAATAATGATACTGGTGATCTGGGTATCAGCCTTAACTATGTATATGCCATATTATTTCGGAGCACTGGGTGGCTTTGGTTTGGACTCCAACCAAGGATTCTGCACCATCATATATGAAAAGAATGGAGGAATACTTTATTTAAGTTTTGGCTATGTGCTACCTATTCTTATTATGATTATATGTTACTTCAAAATTTGGTGGACAGCAACAAAAATGAAAAGGAAAATGCAAAATGTATCTTCGTGTCCTTCAAATAACGTAACATACAATTCGAATAATACTAGAAGTGCTTTAAGACCAATTGTTAATCGCGATTCTTCCAGTCAAGGGCACACCGATACGAGCGACAGTGAAGAAACTCCACCCAGTAGCGAAGCAAATAGTCGAGGTGGAAGAAATACCATCGCAGAAGTGTTTCAGGCTACTTTTCGAACCGCCAAGAAAACAGACAGAGTAAAAGCACCAACAAAAAGAGACAAAAAGTTATTTACTATGATAATCGCTATTATTGTAGCTTACAGCTTCATGCAGTTACCTGTAATGATAAATAGAATCCTTATATTGGATAAACCTAAATATCCTTTTACGATGGTAATGTTACAAATGGTTAATTTTGCAGGTTATTGTATAAATCCTATTATCTATGTGTTTATGTCCAAAGAATATCGACAGGCCTACAGTAAGGTTATCAGAATGATAATGCATAATCTTCGAAGAATCCGTAATTAGTGCATTTTCCGTAAAAATCTTGTTATTTATGATTCTTTCATAAACTACGTTTAAAAACCGACTTTAACCCTCTCCTTTTCTTTAAGTCGGTTAATTAATATAAGTACTTAAACCTTCTCCTAAGTGTATCAAACACTTTCCTGAAAGATACTTTAAAATCGGTTCAGCAAATCTCGAAATAATCACGCACAAAAATGCATAGATACATACATGCAAGTCTAATTAAGAACCTCTTTTTTCAAAGTCGGTGAAAAATTGGCTCCAACATTGTTAGTTCTATGAACGTTTATATTAATTTTTTCTATTTGTTCTTCTGTGTTCATAATATCTTCGAATAATATTTTTGAAATTAATCATGAATTTCTATACTCTGAATGTTATTGTGTTTATAGCACCAAATACATTTTTGTAATTTAGTTATTTATTTTGGGTTAGAAGACCAATAGTTTTTTTGCGTTATTCTACTTGTAAATGCATAGGTAGATATGCAGTCCAACAACCAACGCATGTCGTATTAAAGTATCTCTAGAGATACGAATACAGTTGTACGATATACGAGTACATACAATACGAGTACAGTTGCTTTGTACAGTTGTACAAAGCAACTGCATTGTTCACATTTGTGTCGCATGAACGCATGTACCCTCGACAATCATCAAAGAAAATAAAATTGAATCCAAGTTTGTAATAAACTTAAATAGAGAATCTTAACCTACATTTATTTATTTACACGATGAACTCGCCCTCCATAGCGCCGATCTTTTCTGGTGCAGGGGCCACCAAACCCGCAGCCTCTCCGACCTCAGGGAGCCTCTAGTGGTCGGACTCTTTAATGAGCTGGTAGAGGTGATCAATGGCCGTCGTCAACTGGGTCTCGATAAAGTTAAAAGTTGTGAGATTTTAAATGTAAACTTGTATGATGAACATTATTA